GTATTCATTCAGAAGGAGCGGGGAGAAAAGATCTCATAAATGTCATTTCATATTCCAAGCAATTTGCTATAGGCAACTACACCATTACTTTGTACAAATAAATTTACATAAATCATTATTAGAATGTTTTATCTTGGCAACATTATTTGGTTCCCAGAGCACAAATTAAATGCATGCTTAAAGCAGAATATTTTAAAGTTATTCCTATATTGTTTATGAGACAGGATTAGAAATTTCCATCTAATTTTTCTTTCATAATGGAATTCCTTTAGTTTTCTTTGTACATTTAGACACCACGTGTGTCATTTTGCGGGGGTTTCTTGAAGCGAGGCATGAACTAGGCGACTTTTGTGTCGGTCTCATTTCTCAGCAACTGCTGCCTCTGATTTCATGGGCTTGGGTCTCGAGACCGATTAGGAGGGCAGGGAACCAGGGAAATGACAATCCACAGGCCTGCGAGCAGATGACGTTTTGTTTGCTATTATTGTGTAAGCTAGGGGAGTCTTCGATGGTGGCTGGGCTTTAGTTAAAAATCAAATAGATTTGTAAACCAGCCCCTGAACTTTGTATGGGTTGGAGTGGTGCCTGGATGAACAGGACAGCACCCGGCAAGTTTTCGATGGTGGGAGTCTTACTCTGCCCAAGATCTTAAAATAACACCCCCCTCCCAAATATAAAATGCAGTGTCCAGTTTTAAAACAAGCTGCATTTATCAATGGCAGGGTGGGGAGTGGTAGGAAGGGACAGCAGGGGATGTCTGCACCAGTCCTGCTATTCCATGGCTCTGGAGAATTACCCAGGCACCCAACACCTCATCTTCTCACTGCTGTCATGAAAAGCTGAACCCACCGCTCAGAGGTCCCCCTTTCTAGCTGTATGTGGCCTGAGAACAGACTCTAGGCCAGTGTCAGAGAAGTGGCGCTGTGAGGTCAGAGAGGCAACCCTTGAAAGGATGCGCAAGCAGCCCCGTGGAATACCTGAAAGCACAGAGTTGTAGGGGCCTGGGTTCGAATCAGAGCCACTCACTAGCTGGGCTGAATGTCAGCAATGCAAACCTTTCTGCTTCTCTGCAGCTCTATTTTTTTGAGAGGGGATTGAACTATACTGGGGATTGAACCCAGGACCTTCATACTAAGCTGCACTCCTAGCCCTTTTTTGTTTTTTATTTTGAGACAAGATCTCACTGAGACACCAAATTGCCAAGACTGGACTCCAACGTGCAGTCCTCCTGCGCAGCCTCCCACAGTGCTGGCATTACACACATGCGTTGCCACACCCGACTCGTACCAGACCTTCTGAGGTATTTGCAGACATGTTATTTGAATCTTTCAAAAACTCGAGAAAGGGCTGGAGAGATGGCTCAGTGGTCTAAAGCACCTACTTGAAACAAGCTTAGCAAAGCACAGGGACCGCGGTTCAATCCCCCAGCACCACATGCCAGCCAGCCCCTCCCCCTGGTGGGCTGAGCTGGCCACGCACGCACACACACACACACACACACACACACACACACACACACACTGTAAAAATAAATAAATAAATATAAAAAAAACTCGAGAAAAATGTAAGACTGGATTAATTGTCCTATAACAAGACGCAAACAAAGGCAGCAGAAGCAGCACAGGCTTTTCTACAGCGACCCAGTGTCACAGGGCAGAGCGACCCAGATATCTACCTGTACTTCCAGCAGGGAGACGGGGGTCACGTTCCTCATTCTAGCCAATGCACTGGGAAGCAGTGAGTCGTCACCACTCTATGACATTTAAGAATAGGTGCGAGGTCTCAAGTCTCCTGTCACATGTTGTACCAACCAGGAAGCCACCCAACCTAACTGCTCATTCCAGCCTCTGAGTCTTGGGATGCACTTTTTAGCCAGTTAGTAAAACTAGAGCGCACATCTCCAGCCATATTTTTCAGGTAATGCTGCTGGCCCACTAGCCACTTGGAACCACTGTAGTTTAAGTCCTAGCTAAATGCTGTTCACATCCAACAGTGTATGTTATCACACCTGGCTAGAGAGCCACGACCCGAGAATTGGTCAGAAATGTACCATCTTAGGCTCCAAGTCAGACCTACTGAATCAGAATGCACCTTTTAGCAAGGCTGCCCAAGTGACTTGCTTGCGCAATGAAGTTTGAGCATCTTGCTTTAAGCTATTCACAACACCATACATGCTCTGTTGAGAGATTCCATTGAGATTTCACAAGGTCTAAGGCACAGGAAAAGGGAAAATCCTAAAGAAATTAAGGCTCTTACCTAGGTACTTATTATAATCTGTCTGGCCAACTGTGGTCAACCTGGCCAGATTCAAACTTGCTTAGACGAACTCAAATCTGTATCACTCAAAACAATCATTTTTCATTATTTCCTTAAGTCCAGAGGAAATTAATTATGTATTTATTTTGTTGCACCTAGGCCCTGAGCTCTCGGATTTACTTTTCACCAAGTATTCTACAGGTATCCCTGGCTCAGCCAATGAGTAAGGTTAGAACCCACACATATCTCTAACTTTCACTATAGTTTTCACTCCACAAGATCATCAAATCCTCATACACTGGGAGAAACATGTTGCCAAATGTAAGTGTTGTAGCTTACGCATGGTAAAACTTCATGCTTACTGGACTTAAAACCAAGTATTTATTTGATTTGAAATAAAACAGCTCACATCAGCACCAAGAAAAAAGAAAACAGCTCCAAAACTCAAGGTTCATTTTTAATTCAGTGCTGATTTATTTCAACATGTAGAATAATCCAAGATTCCCAGATGGATCCTTTAAGGAGAAATACTGTATCTAAGTTCTTGAAATACAATAGCCCCAATGATTTAATTGAAGATTAAAGAGAGAAATGGAAAAATAGAGCTAGGAAGTGATCAATTCACTATCTCAGGCTAGAAACCCTATCCCTCACTCCTGTCCTATTCTAATTCTACTCATCCTTCAAACCTATGTCTTTAATGAGGAAAAAGTTCTACACCTCAAATTTTGCAAATTCTTAGGTTACACAATTACCAAGGCCTCTGGCCAGCAAACTTCTGTATGAGGCCGGTTGATGCATAGTTTATGGTTTCCGTTGTATCTACTGAATTCTGTCGCTGTAGTATACAAGCTGTCATTGATAATCCAGAAATCAATGAACACAGATGTGTCTCAATAAAACTTTATTTAGAGACATCAAAACTTGAATTCCATCAAATTCTTATGAAGTATAAAATGTTAATCTTCTTTTAAAACTTTCAAACCATTTAAAATCAGTAGAATCCTTCTCAGCCTGTCTGTCATGTACCAATAGGCAGTGGGCTGCCCCATGTGAGTGGACCCAATGTAGTTTGCTAAGCCCTGACCAAGGTTTAGAAAAAGTAGGACAGCTCTCAATAGACTATCACTTCTGTGGGAAGGGAACATGAATACTGTTATTCTAGTTCTACCTCTTCCTTTAGCTGGAGGCTGGGGCTGTGATTCCAGAAGGCCAGAGTTCCTCAGTCAGTGAGGGCCTGTGCTCTTTGGCCCAGCGTGCTCAGGAAGCAGCGTGGCCAGGGCACCACCTGACTGGAGAAGCGAGCCTCTCAGCTGGCAAATCTAAGGCCTTTAAGACCCTGCACTAGGCACTGCTGCTTTAACCAGCCAGGTAGAAAGCAACAATGAAAAGAACCAGGTATGGGCAGGATTGGGTGCGCCACACCCAAATTAATCAGAGCACCTGGCTCCCTATCCCTGACTGTGGCCCGGGCTTGGGCTTTGAGACTCCTAAACCTAAATTCAGACTTTCAAAACTTACTAGAGATGTCCTCCTCATCAACTTCCAAAGAAACTCATGTTGTTGGCTTCTGACCCTGCAGCTCGACCTCCCAGCTTCCCGTCAAAGCTTGTGAGCACCAGGCACTGACAGCACAGCCTCTGGGCCATCCCCAAGCCAGAAGTGTCTGGCCCCGCTGGGAGGAGGTGGAGGCAGCCAGGGAGGAGAAGAGTAAGTAGGAGGTAGAAAGGCAGGGGTAGGGTGTGGACAGGCCCAGCAAGGCCGAAAAGATCAGCAAGACAGCAGCCAAGCCACAGATAGCAACAGTGGTCACTGTCCTTGGAAAGACACTGCCAGCCAAGGCCCCTTACGACAGGGCAGGTGGGGATTCCCGGGGTGTTCTGCTCCACTGTCCTTCAGGGACGTGGGCCCTTAGGCTCTGACTCCGGCTGGGACCAAAAATCAGGGTCCTCCAAACACTGTGATACGGGCAGCCAAGGCCTTGCCACCTGGCTCATTGAGGGCTCATTCCTACTTTCCCATCAAAGCTGTCATTGTGGCCCTGTCACCACCCTCTTCCCTCTACCTGACCACATGATCAGTGGAAACAAAGCCACTTGTGACCCTTCTCGGTCTATGAATACTCCCCTAACTATCTCAGTCCCAATCTGGAGGTTCTTCAGCTTCCTGAAGTGAGGGCTAAGGTGCCCATTCTGACCCTCACCTGGATCCAGAGGTTTAGCATGTACTAGCTGTGAACCTTTGGCAAGATGACAACAAGCTCCCTGAGGATGGGCATCAGTCTTATTTCTTTACTTTTTTATTCCATCTATCCCAAGACCACAAAACATGTTCAGTAATACTTATTGAACACAATGAAGAGATACAACATTATAAAGAGTAATACAATTAAATAAGGTATTATGGGAAAGAAGCTAATGTAGAGGCACAACATTCTGTAGGAAAATTCCCAGCATGATTCTGGTTGCTTTGTGCATCTAAGACACACAGTGGAATTTTAAGTAAAGATGTGATTCAATGTTTTCAATCATCTTAATGTCTAAATTGGATTGACCACATTGTCAGTCTGATCAGCTGCATGAATTGATCATTAAGATTGGGAGGAGAAAGGGATGCTGCCAATGGGTGGAGAAACAATCAATTTGTCATTTGCATTTAAATATAGCTTTAGTGTTTCATGCATTCAGTGTAAGCATCCAGGTATGGTCAGGCCAGCTGGGGAAGGGGAGGCACAGCAGGATTACCTGAGTCAGAATGGGTCCAGGAAGCCAAGGTCAGCATCGCTCCACCTCCGTCACAGAATGGACAAAGGCGCTCCCATCATCATAAAGCGATGCTTCCAGAGGCTGGTGGGAAGGAGCAGAAGGAAGAGGCCATTAGAGGAGAGGAGCAGAGAGCCTTGGCAACTACGGCGGCGATGCCCTGGCCGGCCTGTCCCTAGAAAATGATACACTTCAGGGAGAGTCAATTGCAACAGTACCTCTTTATTTCTTGGATAGTTATGGAAGGACTGAATCTTTCAGGATAGAGTGTTTTTAAAACTGCCTCCCAGGGCATAAGAGGACACAGATATCTGAAAATATACGCCACGGATACTGTGAGATTATGTGATTTTACTGCAACTGCCATTGAGACATTTGTGAGATCATTTTATTTTACTGTAGCTGCTTCTGAAACACTTGTCTCTATAAAGGGAAAACATCAGTGCACTAACAAGCATCCAAGGCCAGCGATCCTCCCCGTGCCAGCCTTGATCCACTGGACAGACCATGGAGACAGGCTGCAGAGTCAGGGGTTCTCTCTTCTACTGTAAAGTGAAATTGCTCTGGTTCTAATCCTTGAGACTAGCTCACTAAGGGGCTTCGAGTTACTGGGTCATAGTTCACCAATAATACTACAAAACAGGGAGGCTGGTACACGAACTCGATTGCACAGTAATTTTTGGCTTTTTAGCCCAAGCTTCAAAGATGACCAAAAGTCAACTCTAACGAAAACAATGGTATAAGCCAATGATACGCTATGATATTATCCTACTAGCCCCACCTACCAGTGTGAGAATGCCAGGAAATAAATTCATTGAATCTGCAGTGCTCAGAGTACAGTCCCTGAGCAACATACATGCTGCCTGAGAGCTTGTTAAGAAAAGCAAATTCTTGGCTCAGACCCAGGACGCTGCATCAGAATATCTGGAAGGGGAACTCAGAGATCTGTGTTTTCACAAACCCTGCTAGTGATTCTGATACAGACTGTTCATTTATTCACTCAGACAAAGACATTGACCCTGGTGCTATAAAATAAAAGTATTCTGCTCTCCTTTGTGTTTAAGCTCCAATTAAAGAAAAGGCACTGAGCAAGGGCCTGGAAGGGAGGAAGATTTAGAGACGGGAGGTGACAGGGAGGCCCTGCCCTGAGAAGTGGGGAAGACAGGACTTGCGTCCAGCAACTCAACACAGCCTGTGTGCCTTCTACCAGGTAGTGGGTCGCAGAAGCTACTTGCCTTTGTGGCCAGGTGGAAGGTGAAAATAAGAGATAATCTCACGGAGACGATAGCAGTAATAATGGATCTTGAGATTGGGACAGGCCTGTGACGGGCAGGAAGGGGCAGCAGCAAAGCATGAGGGTTCTGCAGGACTCAGAGCGACTAGGTCTGCCGATGCACGAGAGACAGGACAGTGAGCTGGGCGACACCCAGCAACTCCTGAACGCAGACATAAAAGCCCGGGGACGTGGGCTCCTCTTTCTGTGAACGCAGCTCCTGTCTCCAGCTTATATCGGGGCTTATGTCAGAAACTGATGTCTGGTAATCGAGGCAACCTAACGATTCTGTAGCCACTTTGTTTTTTTGTATTTTTCTCACTGCATTTTCCAAAGTGGAGATTCTCTGCTGCCTTAAAGATTCATAGCTCAAGGTCTACCCAGGAGGAAGAACACAAAAGAAAATTTTAAAGTAGGCACAAGACTCTCGGTGTCACAGTAGATTCAAGCCATTTGATATAAGGACAAAAAACCCTCCATAGCCTTTGCATACCTAAAAACCCCTGAAGCCACCTTGGTTTTAACTTTATAAAATACACTGACAGTCATGAGTTTTAGTCCTCCTCAAAAAGTTAAGCTAATACCCAACATCTCTGGGTGGAGAAAAAGTACTTTTCATCATCAAGAAGTTTGGCGTTTGCTTCTAGAAAACTAACATCAACAGAATGTTTTATTTCCTGATGTTGGTAGAGGAACGGCGGGTCCCTGGAAGTGTATCTGATGTCACACCAGTGCTCGGACTGAAATGACGCTGGACTCAGAACCAGCAGCATGTGCTTCGCATCCCAGCTCTGCCATGTGACCATGCGAGGCAATACAGGCAGCTCACTGAGCTCCCAAACCTGTTTGGTTTTTGTTGTTTTCTTTGTTTGGTTGGTTTTTGGTAGAACCGGGGATTGAACTCAGGCCCTTGTGCTTGCCAGGCAAGCACTTATTCTACTGAGCCATCTTCCCAATCCCTCTGAACCTCAGTTTTCCAGCTGTCAAAAAAAAAAGCAGGCCTCAGGCTAGGGAGATAGCTCAGCAGTCTAAGCACCTGCCCGCCAAGCACAAGGACTCAGGTTCAATCCCTAGTACCACATGCCATGCTGGCCCTGGAACCCTAGGTATGTACTGCCACCCTGAAACCGGGTGTAGTGGCACATGCCCGTAATCCCAGCACTGGGGAAGCTGAGACAGAAGGATCACTAGGAGTCTGAGCTGCATAGTAAGATCCTGCATCAAATAAATAAATTAAAGATTTTTATTTTTTTCTTAAAAGCAGGCTTCAACCTGCTCCGCCCTCCTTGAAATGAAATAAAAAATAGATAAAAAGGTGCTATGAAAATTATACACTGCAAGCCTACACACATGTACAGAATTAGCCTTTTCACTGGGACATTGGGTCCTAATTAACACTTGTTACTGCACTGGCCTTTGAAAGTATAAAACTAAAATGTTCCTGCGCCCTTGAGAGTCTCCTTTTCAATATGTGCAGATACAGCAGTTCCGAGGAACAAACTTGGCACCAACCGATCCATTCTCCCCAGAAACATTTCAAGGTAAATTTTTTTACTCGTAATTTTTTCCCTTTAAATGCTCCTCTTTGGACCACAATAGAGCATCCAGTTATCTTCCAGCAGCTCCTGGTGAGCACGACTCCGTCTTCAGCAACACCGACACATACGATGGCAATAATTTATCATCTCTGCAGTAGTTTAGTCCCAGATGGACCATTTACTAATTTATTTCCATATGTAACTGGCAGAGAGATTAATCAGGCTTCCAACTTGGAAACCTGAATTGTGTTTTATTCCCTTTGCAGGCTAACTGTGGGCAAGAGAAAGCACATGTTTACATAGAGACCAAGAGGTCCTCCTGAAAATTCATGGCATTACACACGCACTCCTGCATACACTCATGCACGCACGCACACACGCAACCTATCCTAAGACAGCTTGCGTCTTGTGTCAGCTTGGAAGGCTGAGTCTTTCTTTAGATCCTCCTGGGCCTCACACAGGAGCCGTGTCTACTGCAACCCTGGGCAGAAGTAGCCCTGAAAGAAAGGGGACAGCACATCAGGCATGGTCGCAGGCAGCCACATGCCTCTCCTCTGGGCAGGGCCAGGAGCTCAAATTTCTGAAAGGAAAGAGATCTTTCGGCCATGGTGCTACACCCAGCTGGCTTGGCTACATGGTGTCCAGACACTGGAAACTATGTGCTTTCTTTTTTCCACTCTTTTTAAGGGTCTGAACTTGAGTGAATTCAGCAGCTGCCGCAGCTTCAGCAAGGCAATGGCTAATGGATTGGGAGCTTTGCTCCCAGTTTCCCAGAGCTCTCATCTTGGTCTACCTTTTTCATTTTAACCCAATGGTATTAGCCTCTAGCAAAGCGTTGGTTAATGGCATTGTTGTTGGGTGATGGTGTTTACATGTGGAGCTGAAGCCAATCCCAGCATGAGCCTGAAAGCAGAAGCTGATTGGTGACAACCTTAAGTGGAACCTGAAGTCAGCTCGAAGAAGGCTCAGCACACAGGACCTCCTATGGGTCCACATGCTTGGGCCTCTAATCAACTCTGTCCTTGGAGAAATCATTTCACAGTTCTGGTTCAAAATGCTCTTCTCTGTAATGTGAGACGGTTAGCTCTTTATAGCTCTTTAAAGTCCTTTTCAGCTCCAAAATCTTAGGACTCTATGAAAATGAAAATAATCAGCCATTCACCTGGTTGCTGTGCTTAGCTGATGCTAAACAGCAGGAGGTCTGGAAGCTTCTGAAAGAAGTTGAATAGGTCCTAGATGCTGGCAGCAGCGAGCCTTAGAACATCTCCACATCTGATGCTCTCTTCGCGCACAGAATATAAACATTTGAAGACTGTCCAACAATACATATCTTTACAAAGTTTTAAGACTTCAGTTCAAGCAGTTTGAGATATTATTCTAAGTACAGTTGAACCTACCGAAGTACTGAAGTCATAGCCCTTGCTTTTACACTCACCTCTTCATTAAGGGGCTCTGCAACTCATCTTAAAGCAAAGGAACATGTGCTGTAAGGGAAGGCAAAGAAACCAGCTGATAGGAAGCATGAAGAATTGAGTGACCACCCAGAGAAGCAGAAGCGCATGGCAGGAGGTCCTGCCAGGAAGCCCCACTGAGTAAGCAAATCGGAACTGGCCTTTGTGAAACACAGATGGGGATGAGGGCTCAGAGACACAGCAAGAGCAAAGGCCCTGAGCGTCCCCAGTATGGCCCCGACATGGCAGCCTGGGGCCCGAGGACAGGATGCTCAGTGAAGAGGCGCCAGGGTGAAAGTGAGGCTGGCAAAGGACCAGCAGATTGGCCTTTGCCTGAGGGCGCTGGGAGTCTTGGAGACATCCCGGGCAGGGAGGCTGAAGGCTGCCAAGAAGATCAGTCTGCACTTTCATTTTTCTCTTATTCATTCCATATGACCTCTATTTGGGAATCTCTCAAATTTATTATTTTTTAAAATAAATCTGGTCCTCGCATGGAATCCCGTGGGATTCCTACAAATACTGCCAGCCTTTTACGTTCAAATGACTCATTCAACTTAGGGCACTACGTTTAGATTTATGTGTTTTTCTATTCTTATGAAAGAGTGAAAATAAAATGACACAGATGGATACTTTGTTTTGTTTTTACGCTGGAAAATACTTCTGCATGAGGAGAAAAAGGCATACACGCGCTGAGCGCTAACAAGGTCTGCTCCAGCCTCCCAAACAGACAGAAGTTGAGCTTGTCCTCCTTAAGGTGTTCAACGAAAACTTCCTGGATTAATGAACCAAAGATCTCCATGGTCCCTCAAACCCCAAAACAGAATGCCCTGTGAACTCTCATACCAATGGCATTTGTTTGTTCTGCCTGGGGGGCAGCACCGGTGGCCTCGCACAGCTGTCATGGGGAGACTAGCCCACCAGGACACAGGGGCTCCTCAGCAGGCAAGCCAGAACACACACAAAGGAGTCTGCAAGTCACTCTTCTGAAAGTTCCAAACATAGGCTGGGGTCTACAGGATCCACTCAGGTGAGTGGGAAGAGGGCAGAGGGGCTCCTTCACCAACAAGGAGAATCCTTTGTCACAAGTCACCATGCAAACTTCCCCCACAAAAGACACAAACCTCCCTTGAGCTCTTGGGGCCACTCCAATGGGTCCACATGGGGACACCTATGGGAAGCTTCAACATTCATTTCAATGTAGGGTCATAAAAAAGTACCTCCTACCTATCCACTGGGGCTGGGGGTTGATTATGCCAGGGTTCAAGTCCCTGATACATAATTCAAAACCTGTCTCAGCCCTCCAGATGCCTGGGTACTCAGCACCTCAAAGCTCCTCAGGGTATTCTCTTAACATCCAGCCAAATAATTACTACCATTCTCTGTGGATCGCCCTCTACGCATCTACAAACTAGCCTTCTAGAAACCAAAAGAGTCAATATGGTACTTTTGTCAAAGTCTACCTATTGGCCAGAAAACTAATGCTCCTCAAATGAATAAATGAATTAAATTCCCATGTCATTTTACATTCTCTTCACTAATACATGAATAAAACCAAAGTATAAAGTAAATGTGGGCTTAAGCTGAATAACGGGCATAAATAAAAATATTTTGACATTAAAAACTCAGTATAAATTAACTGCAACATATTTGAAAGCTCCTGCAATCAGAATGAGCACATTGAAATCCATTACCCTAATACCTAGGCTGCTGTTCAAAAGCAGGGATCTGGCACATACTTAAATGCCCATTTGAACGCTCCTCCTAAATTACTGTACAATCGAGTCGCACAGTCACACATTTCCAAAGTCTATCATCCTTGCTTGGTTGCTCGCTAACCAACGCGGAAGTCGTATCAGGCAACAATGTGGCGGCATAATATAAACACAGACACCCGCAAATGGTACTAAAAAGGGGAAGCAAATGTCAAAGACAAGCCAGGGTCATCCTGGGGAGAACAGGGCTATTTACATAAGCATTCTGAAAAGACAATGGAGCCCCAATTTCCCTTGAACCGCACACCTAATCAGCCTCACTGTCTCTCACCTGATCATCTTTTACAGAAAAGCAATTTCTACAATGAGACACTCGAAGACCTTAGTTGCCATAAACTCAGCAGCTGTTAAAGATTCTGCTGCACATTAGATTTGCTTAAAGACTCAGCTATTTCCAACCTAAGCTTTCATTCCTTACCTATCACTACCCCCCAAAAAAAAACTAAGCTTCTCTGCTAATAGCCTTCTTTACCATGTCACCCGCCAAGGCCATTCTCTTACCTTGCAACTCACTCACACTGGTTTCATTTGAAGATATTTACCCAAGCCAGGGCAATTGTTTGACTGGAATCTTGCAACTTTCAACTTTGCCCAGGTTTTGCTGTGGTGCAGAAAGGGAATGCCGCAAGCCCCAATACATGGCTCAGCTGAGCTAATACACATCTGAATCCAGAGCTATATTTTAAATTCTTTTACACTTACTTAATATAGTGCGTGCCGCCTGTCCACTGATGCGATATCAGAAACCTGCAAGCTACTATTTCTGCAACTGTGTCACTGTAGATAGTCTGAAACATGTACGTAGCTGTTGCCATGGAAACAAACACAGCTAGGGTAGAGTGCCACGCTGTGTTAATTCCTTCACCCATGAACCCCAGGGGAATGCTAACATTCATCTTCTTTCTCCTTTAGTCTCACACTGCTTTAATATTTTTTTTAGCATTATCAAATGATGTACTAAATACATATGGTACACCTGAAAATGTGGATGGATGAAATGAGCCGTGGTACCAACCTAGCCCTGCTGGTATCTGCTTAAAGCGGTACAGCTCTGAAATGGATCCCTTCCCTAACTTCTCTTGGGAGGAAGAGAGAACTTCATCTGTCTTGTAAAGTGATGCGGGTAAGGCAGAAGAGACGGGCATCGCGTCACACCCAGGGAGCACAGTGATCGAGGAACCGCTCTAGAACACACAGGCTGCCAGGAATGTGCCTCGGTCAGCTCTGTGGGGAGAGACTGGAAACTTCCTGAAGGGGATCCAAGCTACCAGATGTTCTCCTTTCCAACTTGAGCTTCCGCAAAAAGCTGTGTTAAGTCGAACAGTTTTAATTAGGTAAAAAGCAAAAACCCCTAACAAGGGCTTTGTCAGTCCCATTCTGGTCTTTGTTCTGAAACCTGTGCAAGAGGCATTAGAATAAGCGAGTAGGTACTGAGATGGAAATCTGTCATCGTTCAGAAAGAAATGTGATTTTCCTACAATCTGAACCTTCTCTTATTTGCTTCAAGTTCAAATCTGTGCCCTTATCAACAGTTGGACCTGCAGAGAAAAGTCAAACTCTTTTTATTACACTTAAAAGCCAAAATGTGTAGCTCCTGGTACACTGGTCCAAATTCCCATTATTCAAACTGGTAAGCCATTTTAAATATTGGGGTTATACTCATCATAGTCGACAAAAATAAGCTGCTGAAAAATCTTAATTACATCCTATCCCTTGGGCTAGTTAATAATATTCAATCTAGATGAAAATGGCCACATTTTAGATTTGCATACTGATGTGCCTCACTCGAATACGATTTTCCTACTAAACAATCAATTGCAGGCTTTACGAGTGCAGATTCATGACCTCCAGCCAGCATGTCTTAAAGAAACCACTACTTTATTGGTGGGGATTACGGCCAAATTATCCCATCAAAGATGAGCAAAATTTTCCTATTATTTTCTTAAATTGAATCATTCCCGGCTGTTTACCATGATGACAATAATCAAAACTTCTCTAAGAAAATAGATATACAAATCCTACTGGTTAAGGGAATGCATCACTTTATCTAAGCAATCTCAAGACAATGTTAGGGTTCAGTACAAAGTCTGTTCTTCAGGTTTTAGCAGGACAGGTGGAGATTACCCTTTACCCAACTGCCAAGGACTTACAAATAATAGAGAGCAGAGTTAGTTAACTGTTTACAGCGGTGAAAACATTCATCACTCATGTTCACTGGGGACTGTTTGCTCCAGTGTTACCTCTAGAGTTAACGAGAGTTCTCGCCTAGTTTATCTCATATGACGACCCCAAGACTGCCCTGAATTAGTTTAGCAGGTATTGCCAAGAAGACACTTTGAGGCTCTGAAATCAGTGACTGGACCACGATCACACTTTATAGGTCCGTGCTTTGTCTCTGTCACCTGATCTATTGCCCTTTCCATGAGCCAAAGCTGTCCCCAGAAGTGCTCACCATACAGTTGGTTGTGCAAGACTTAACAATAGCAGCAAGACCTACAAGAGGACAGACACTAAGCAGCAGATGGACTTGACTGGTCGGGAGAGGTAGCTGGTGGCTAAGGCGAGCCTTCTCAGCCTCCACCCTTGTTCTTGGAGCACCAGCCCCAAAGCAGCCCATCTCTGCCTGAACTCTCATCCTTTCTGGGAGTCGCAGGCCTGAGGCCCAGCACCAACCCTCAGAGAGGGCCTCACAGCAGAAAGATGATGGGGATCCTTGGGCTTTGGAGATAAAAGGAGGCTCAGAAGCAGATAAACTAGTCAGGCTCTTGAGGAAGTAAACTTTCAGAATCTCTCTCTCTCATTTTTAAAAAAATTGTACTAAAATACATGTAACATCGAACAACATCTTCATCATTTTATCCTTTCTTTTTTTTGCGATTCCAGGGATCAAACTCAGGAACCTAAGCTTGCCAGACAGGCGCTAACACCACTGAGCCACCTCCCCAGCCCATCTTCATCACTTTAGGCCTATGGTTCCAGTGGTATTAAATAACAATATTGTGCGACCACCACCACCATCTGTCCCCTTAAGTCTTTCTTTGTCTTGTAAAACTGAAACTCTACACCCATTAAAAACTAACTTCCCATCCCTACTCCTGCCTCCTGGCAATTCACAATTCTGGCTTCAGTCTCTTCTGAATTTGAACCACCCTCTACAAGGAGAATCATAGAGTAATTACCTTTTCATGACTGGTTGAATTCACGGATCATCACATCCTCCTGGTTCACCCATGTTGTGTCACACTCCCCCTTTTCCTTATA